CTGGAGACGTGGTTGGTAGACAGCTACTTGCTGCTAGTCGAATGGCCATGCCTCCCTGGAAGTTTAAATCCATCAGCTGCTCCATGGGAGAAAGATGGGCAATGTCACTCATGCAATTTACAGCCTCTGAAAACTCAGTAGAGGGCTCGCTACCAGTTGGTCCCTACCTGACAGCAATGATGACTGACTTTCTCCATCCTTCCTACCTACAAATCTTTCAGATCCTATTAAGTAACTCCATTGTATGCACTTTCCTTACTACTCAATACTATTACCATTATACTCATGTCTGAGTCCAGCATTGAATTCTGGGCCAGTCACAGCAAATAAACATTTATGGGGCTAGAGAACTCTGGTGACCTAGTGGTTAGGAGGTGTACTGCCAACCCAAAGGGAAGCTGCTCCCCAAAAGAGGTGAGTAACCTTCTCCTGTGTGATTTTCTGACTCTAAAAACCCACCAGAGGGTCAGCTATGAGCTGGTTCTCTCAATGAGAGAAAGAGAGGTCAACTTGACAAAAGCTGAGAATTTCAAGTACTGGTTTAAGGAGACGTGGTCGAGCAAGTAGGAGGCAGTATTCTAGTTCAGGTTCAAGTTTAGTCCAGGACAGAAGTTGTGCCTTGGCTGCCTGCTACTTCCCAGGCCTATCCAGGCAGGTGTGAGCCAGTTCCAGATCCTAAGCTGGCAGCCCCCAGCCCAGGCCACAGTGCCAGGGTCAGGTCCAGCTCCAAAATGGCGCCAGATCTCGCCAAGGCATGTGGAGGCCCGGGGGGCGCTTCCTGTCTGAGCCTGCCGCCCTCAACCGCTGGCAGCGCGGGTTTCCGGCGGGGCTGCGGCCGGGGCCTGCACTATCAGCTCGGCACCAGATGCCTGGTCAGGATACTTGTGGTGAAACTGTGAGGGCACAGTCAGTCCTTTGGGGTTTTCTCCCGTGTCAGCCTCCAAGACTGATGGAGGAGGGAAAGTGACACCTAGCAGTTCTGCAACCCTGTTTTTCCCACTCTAGGACGGGCTGGGCTGCAGCCATCTGCCTATGGCTTGGGGAGAGGAAGGAGGGTGCCTGCCTTACTGGCTGTGGTGGGGGGCTTAAAACTGCAGCCTCTGGGACAGGGTGGGTCTGAGGAGGGGAAGAACTAGGGAGTTGGAACTGCTTCACCCAACAAGAGGTTCCGTGCATAGGGTAGATGGGATCAGTGAGAGGGGGTCAAGTGTCTGCAACATCACATCCTGCCTCAAAGGGGTCCTAGGCCTAAACCAAAGGCTTAAACCCGGGGTCGATGCACTCCCTATCTGCTACTTACAAGGCAGTAACTGACGCCTTGCTTACTACTGCAGTAAAAGGACCCAGGCCATAACCCTGAACCTGAGGAACCTAGAAACAAGAGGCAGCTTGTGGGCACTGGACGCCCATGATAAGCCACGGCTTTGGAAGATCCAAGCTGCCTCCCTCATCTCATCTCATCTCATAGCATATCATCACAAAGGATCGGCCAGCCCAAGTCCCCATGGCCTGCTGCTAGCCAGGTTCCCTCAGCTGGCCTGAATCTGTTCCAGTCCCAGCTGCAGATGTTCCCCGGTCACCGCTAGGTGACGCTGCAGCCGGAGCCTTTCCTTCCACGATTGTCAAGGGCCAGGTACAGCCCACGCAGGCGCAGCCCTTCGGCCCCGCGCGTCGCTCTGCGCTTGCGTATTACAACTTCCTGCCTAAAGCCTCAGGAGGCGCTCCCAAATGACGTCGACGGGTTCCAATGAACCACTGAAGCGCAGGCGCGGTTTTGCCCGGCGCCTCGGAGCAGCCGGGGCCCACGACCAGCAGGGGGCGCCAGTCCATGGCACACATGACCAACTGCATCCCTCTGGCCCCAAGAAACCCTTAGCTGCCTTACTTTTCCTTAGAAGTGAGGAGCTGGCGAGAACGATGGTAAACCAGGGCTCCTTCCAGGACCCCCTCTGGGACTTCTGCAAAAAAACCAATGTGGGAGGCATGAGGAATCCTGGCAAGCTCAGGTGAGTAACCAGTACCTTAGGGAAAGCCCAGCTCAGTCCCACACAGGGCATTTTTTTCCCACGGATTTTAGGAAAGTCACTTATAAAGCACTGGTTACATGCAGCCTCTCCAGCGTCCAACTCTCAAGACACCCAATCCAGGCCAGAACGATGGCTGGAATAAACAATAGCTAATAAATAACAAGCAAGTTCACAAGTATCATTACCTCTTTGCAATACTCTAAATCATCCTGTTGTTTGTTGTGTACTGTCCAGTCGGAACTGACCTGGGGCTGACCCACCAGCAGGTTTTCAGAGGCAGTTAATCGCTCTGGAGGGGACTGCCCATCCTCCTGCGGAGCAACTGTTGTTGTTGTTATGTGCCGGCGAGTCGTTTGCGACTCATAGTGACCCTATGCACAACAGCCCTAAACCCTGCTCTATCCTGCGCCAACCACACTGCCTCTGACACACCCATCCCGATTACCCCAGTCACCGAATCAATCCATCTCATAGAGGGTCTTCCCCTCCTGCGCTGTCCCTCCACCCTCCCAAGCATGATGGCCCTCTCCAAGGACCCGTCCCTCCTGGCAACATGTCCAAAGTATGTCAGACGAAGCCCCAGAATCCTTGCCTCCAAGGAGTAGCTTGGTTTAATCCTCTCCAAGATGAATCTATTTTCCTGGCAGTCCATGGTACATTCAGTACCCTTCTCCAGCACCACAGCTCAAAAGCATCCACTCTCCTTCTGTCCTCCCTAGTCACTGTCCAACTCTCTGATGCATAACAAGCGATTGCAAATACCATGGCCTGTATCAGGCGCACCTTAGTCTCCAGAGAGACACCGTTGCTCTTCAGTACTTTAGAGAGGTCCCTAACAGCAGACTTTCCCATCGCGATACGCTTTTTGATTTCCTGACTGCTGGTGCCAAGAGTGTTGACTGTGGAGCCGAGCAAACTGAAGCTGTGAACAATCTCAATCTCTTCGTCATCCATCCTGATGCTGCCAATTGGTCCAGTGGTGAGAATCTTTGTCTTCTTGACATTGAGCCTCAGTCCATACTGAAGGCTGCAGTCCTTGACCCTTCGCAGCAAATGCATGAGGTCCTCCTCAGTTTCAGCAAGCAGGGTTGTGTCATCTGCATAACGGAGATTGTTGATAGATCTTCCACCAATCCTGATGCCACAATTCTCCTCATAGAGCCCAGCCTCTCAGATAATCTGCTCTGCATACATGCAGAGCAACTAGTGGCCTCAAACTGTGTGACTTCGGGATTACAGCGCAGCTTCTTGCCACTAGGCCTCCAGAGCTCCCTAAATCATCCTAGGAGCAGCAGTTAATAGCAGTATTCCTTTTTACATCACCACCCTGGTCCACCACAAGGGTCCAAGTCATCAATTTTTGTCTGGATTACTACCAAAGAATGTCTGTCTCTCCTATTTTCTGGTTTTTCAGTTCTTTCTCAACTAAAATAAAAATTTTTTTAGAGTAAGGCAAAATTCTTATTATTCTTCAGGAGTTCTGTTCTGGGCTCTTTATCTGCAGCCTGATGCTGTACACTCCCAGCCTCGCAGGATTTCATTCAGGTTCTCAGACAGGCCATTCCCTGGTCTATCCCAAGGTATTTTTGCATGCTGTTATCAATTGATTGTGTCCTCCAAAATATAAAACGTAAATCCTAACTCACATCTGTTGCTAAGAGTCCTGATGGAATACTGCATAACCACAAGACTAACAGTTCTCATCCACCAGCCACTTCCTGGGGGGGGGGGGGAGGCAGTCTCCTCCCACAATGATTTACAGCCTCACATGATAAGAGAGTCACTGAGTCCTAACCAATTGAATGGCAGTGGGCTACATGTGCTTAAAATCACATTTACGGGTGGGTTGTTATAACTGGAGAGTATTATTAGTATAGATTGTGTCTGGATTCAACGTCTTTTGAAATATAAAAGATTAAGCAAAGCTGAGGAAAGTAAGATACTACACCGCATGAAGACCACAGAGGTACAAGGACCTTCTCCTAAGCAGAGAGAAAGGCTGCCCCTAAGCTGGTGCTCTGAATTCAGACTTCTAGCTCTAAATTCCTAAACTGTGAGAAAATGAATTTCCATTTATTAAAGGCACTCGTGCGTTTATACATTCTTTAGTGCTCTGTCTGGAGGACCCACCACTCCCTGTCACCTGTGTAACTCCTACTGAGTTCATCTATAGGCCATTTCCTTGGGAAAAGGTCTTCCCTCCTCCCTCCCATACCCATCTGGACTAAGTACTCACCAGCATGTACCATCAGAAGACCCAGTACCCCCCCTTCCTCACAGTCTTCCTACAGTTTATGAATTTGCGTGTCATCATTTGTTCACTTGTCTTCAATATGGGCCTCTGCTGTGCTCATCACTGTGGCCAGTGAAGTACGTGACTCAGAAGAGGGATTCTAAAATCCTGGGTGAGGAGTTGACAGGGCCCTCACTCTAAACACTTCTCTGTAACCTTAATTAAGCTACCTCTCTAGACTCAAAGGTAAAATGAAAATGGAACAAACCCATTATTTAATGCATAAAAGGCAAAACTTTAAAAACAGACAAAAGTCTGATCCCAGAGATAATAATCAAATTATGAGAGATTTACAGCAGAAAACATTCAGCAAATGTTCAGAGTCCCTGTTTTATTTTCATTTGATCACACACACATTTTTTTTTTAAAAAAAACCCACACACAACTCACAAAATATACAAACACGGAAACTAAAAGGGTATAAAAGAAGGGGCTTACTTCAATCATGGCTGAAAAAATATCCTAGGCTTCAGGCGGGAGAAAAAAAATACCAATCAACTACTGAAAATTATTTTGTTCAAAACATAAAAATGTTTTGAGATTTGGTGGGCTTTTTTGTTTTGATATTATCAAATATTTTTTTAAAAAAGACTTAGGGACGAGAACTAAGCTCCTGTGCTGCCTCAGGTAGGTTTGGGCTTCTCCGTGAAAGCCTTTGGGAAATGCAGAGGGCAGCATTCCCACCCTGCTCGCCATCTGCAAATGCAGCCACCCTGGCCCACTCAGAGCACAATAGGCAGAGACTACAGAGCATCGAGGATGTGGTCGATCTTAGTGACCAGCTCCTGCCGTTTTCCTGAGATGAGCTTCTCATTCTCAATGTATGTATCTTTCTTGAGTTTGCCTGCCACCAGCCGCTCGGCTTCTACCGCTGACTTCAGCACCAGTTCCTTGACCTGGGCATCCAGCTTCTGCATTTCACTCACCTGGCCAAGACAAGAGCAGATCAGGACCTGAGAACAGTTTCCCTAAACCTACTCATCAGGGTCCACTACCCCACCCCCCTGCAGACCTAGGTGTTCCCATGGACCAGCCACAATGCAGCCCCCGAACACAAGTACAGTGGGGTGCACCAGAGGGGCTAACTGTGGAGGAGACAAGCTGGATTCCAATACCAGCCTCACCATTTACAAATTCTGTCATTCAAGTTCTGACCCTTACAGTCAAGACCTGTCACCATCTCTGGGTTCATGTGCGCCAAGGTCATGAGGCTTAAGTATGAAATTATGTGAAACTACTTGGTACTATGCTCTAGCATGTGTTTTGTAAACTGTTCCATCTCTTCCTTTCAGCTTGCCAAATCAGGTCCACGTATTCAGTGGGTAAAATATCAGTGGGGAAAGGGGAAAGCCTTTACTATACTGTCACATTTGTTCAGTACTAACAGATAATTAGTGAGCCATACTACTTGCGTAAAGCACTACTCTAGGCTCTGGAAGCATCAGTGAAGACCCAATACCTTGCCCTCATGAAGCCAATATTCTAGAGGGGAGAAAATTAACATATAAGCAAACAAATAACCCAGCTGCTGACAGTGGGCATGAGGATAGGAGAGCGATTCCGAAGGGGCCCTCTGAAAGGAAACTTACCAACCTCAGTTAAAGGTAATAAAAAGTCACACAGCGCATACCAGACTTTACATGCTTCCACTTACTCCTCGATCACTAAATGGTATAAGTAAATGGAGGCATGGTGAAGATAACCCCAGTTTACTAAATTTGAATCAGAGCCCAGATTCAAACCCATGATTATGGAAGTCTATGTTGTCTTATCACTCTGTGAGCAGCCTGGATCTTGTCCAGTCTGGTCTTGGAGAGAGGAAAGAGCTGATCTGAGTATCAGCCATTTGGGCAAACGGTGCTGTACAGGCTGTCATACTTTCATTCCAATTCAGGGGTTGGTAACCACACAAGTCTACAACTCACCCCCATAAGCTAGCAAGCAAACAAGCAAGTTGCTGGTTATATGTGCAAGTACAATTCTCAAAAGTAAGAGCCTGAGGACAAAAAGCTCAAAGGACACAGTGGTGGCAGGCACTTACTTTGTCACAGAGGTCAGAGCCCTCTGTCTTCAGCCTGGACTGCAGCAATGTGATTTCACTGGTCAAGGCTTTGTGTTCTATCTCCAGGCTCTTCTTGCCGCTGTTGAGAGTGGAGATATCCCGAGATTGCTTGTACCTATTAACAGTCTCATCAAAGTGGCGGTAGAGACCTAATCTCTTGTTGACCAAGGTCAGGACCTGCTCTGTGATACAGGCCACTTTCATCCTGGCTTCAGCAGCTGGATCCTGGAGAAGGGAGAGACACCATGTAAGACAGCACTGAGCCAGGCCTGAACCCATTCCAGTCTTCACTTCCTAAACAGCAGCCGCCGCCACCATCTCTCCAAGCAAAATAAGCCACCTCCTTAGAAAACATTCAGCCCGTGCTGACATTCCATCTGGAACACGTACAATACTGGATAAGGTTGGAAAAACAAAGATAGAGCAGAGAGTGAAGTTACAGACCACCCAGGCAAACAAATGTAGTTTTTTATTGTCTTTGAGTGGAGCACGACTCATAGTGACCCTAAGAACAAAAGATCTGAAGTCCCTCTATGACTAAGACTTAAAATAGTTTTTCCTACAGTAGGTTTGCAAAGTCTTAAAAGGAGATTTATGGATAAGCAACTGGCTGAGTGAACAGCAGTACACCCATATTATGAAGGATACTGCAACCATTAAACATGAGTTTAATTAAACATGAGGGAGAGCTCTGGGAACTGATACTACAGGTGATTGCCAAGATACATCTGTTCAGTAAAAAAAAAAAGTAAAATACCAAATATATGTACAGTTGCTACCTTTGTGTGAAAAAGATTATAAATGTGGGTTGGTTTGTTTGTTTTTAAGGGGAAAGAATCTGTAAGAATATTTAGTAATTGATGAAACTGGCAACCTACAGAACAGGGATGGGCAGGGAGGAGGAAGTGGAACAATTTTGGAGTTGTGAATTAAGAAAATGTTAAAATATTAGCAATGATGGAGGAAGCAAATAGAATAAAATTCACACATAAATAAAACTGTCTGTTGTTCAAAGGTTGGTAGAAATTCTAGTTAACACGATGGCACCTACCACCCCATCACACACACATCCCCCTTTCTAATGAATAATGAAAAAACAAATCTAAGGACCTATGGAACACAGTACTTTGGCAATCAATATGTTCTCCATTTGAAAACAAGAAAACTGCAAATCTTCAGACTGACTCATTGGGTTTGGTGCTCGTAGTGGTAAGGGCAAAAATTCTAAAACTATTTTGTGAATGTTCACAGAATTCTGCAAAAGAAATATATTGATGTTGTTAGGAACCAGAATTCTGTGAAAGAAAAAATATGGAATGAAAAAAATAAAGCAAAGAACTTTATAGACTAGAATCAAAGGAATTGGCATTGATATTTTAACTATGTACTTATTTCCATCCATTAGGACCTGGAAGATACTCTAAAAGCAGTAAGATCCTAATCACAGATCATGACCTACAATTACCATCACCCACTAAAACGAACAATGCTCCTGAGAAAAAAGATAAGCTGCACCTGAAACCTTAAATTGCAAGTTGTTATGCCAGAAAGTGAAAAAAATTATGGAACTGTGGTAAAGACATAGTCAAACTGAGGATAGACAGAGAGACCGACCAAATAGGATCAGGGTACAGGAATCAAATCAATAATCAATTAATCAATAAGAAAAGTTTGTCCTTGTAACTAATGAATGTAAAAAGACTCCATATTTTGCAACTATCATCTAATTCAAGAATCTATACCAAATGCAAAAACTAGAGAGAATAGTATATTTATATGGCTTCAAATAGAACATATTAATTGCAGAGAAAAATAGCAATTTTCAGTGAAAAAAACACACAGATACCAAGTAAAAGACATTCTTATCACCATATTAGGACCAAGTCGTATCAGATCTCTTCTGATATGAGGCATGTTTGATACAATTATCATTTTATAGTAAAATGATAGGCTCTGGTGGCCTAGTGGCAAGAAGCTGCGCTGCAATCCGTGGGAGAAGGTTGGGCAATCTCCTCCCGTGTGATTAACTGCCTCTGAAAACCCGCTGGAGGGTCAGCTTATGGGTCAGTTCACAACAACAGTAAGCTTGTAAAAAATACTTAATCTCAAAAAAAGGTAAATGTAAATAAAGAACCTCTACATAAAATTAAGGTCTAATACTTCAGAGTTAAAGGTCATTAAAACAAAAGCTGAAATGCCTTGGATTAGAGACTAAAGACCAAGGATGT